CGCCCTCCGGGGGCGGGGCGCGCTGGGGGCGGGTCCTGCGGCACCGCCCGGGAAGCTGAGTGAAGCTGGGTGCTACCGCCACATCCTCCGGAGCTCTGGGTCCAGGCGAGCCGAGTCGAGCCGGGCCAGGACCAAGCGGAGCGGTCCGACGGCACGAGCGAGCCGAACGCTGAGCCATGGCGCACCAGACCGGCATCCATGGTGAGGGCGGATGGAGGGCGGACAGGGGGCCCAAGGGCTCTGCCGCGCCTGGTCTGCGCGCTTGGTCCCTTCGTCCTCCTCTTCCTCGCACCCTCCAGGGAAGCTTCCTGTTCTCTTTTGCAGCCGCGAGTCACATCTTGGGGGAGTACAGACTGGTGTACCTAGCCGGGAGTGGGTGCACATGGGTGCACACAGCAAGGGTGGAAGTATCTTGTGTACTCATCTGGGGGCGGATGTGCCTGTATGTACCCATCTGAGTATTTTTGTTCTTTTCTGAAGGTGGGGTGTACCCGGATGTGCACATCTGGAAAAGTGCACACGCATGTGCACATGTCCTCTGTATACAATCCTGTGTGTGCACATCTGGATGCGACTTGGTTATGGTCGACCCAAGCTGCTTCGTGTGCATACACTAGTAGCTGGTTTTGGACACCGTAGGTGGCATGGACCATCTCAGACAACAGTGTTTCCTGGCAGCATGCACACATCTATGGGTGTCTGCATGTGTGCACAGTTCAGGCACATCTAAGTGTGTGTGTGCTACTGTGGATGCTTGCCCGGGTGTCTTATGACTGACGTAGACTTGGGTATATATGTGGAGAGGGTATCCTGGCCTTTTCTCCTTCCAGAACCCCCATACTCTTACACTAGGTTGGACAAAAGCTGGCATAGAGCCCTCCCTCTTCAGTAGACTGGGGAGAGTTGCACATCTGACCTTGGCCTCTGGCTTCTTCCGTTTTCCACTGTGATCTGCTCCAGCCAGGACTGCAAAAGTCCCAACTTCAAGCTGAAAGCAGGGAAGAGGGACAGGAGTTGGGCTTTCTAGGAGTGTTCCTGCCTCCACCCTCATCTACAGGAAGTGTCTACAGCCCAGAGTGTCACACCCACAGTTCCTCTCTAGGGTCCCAGTTTCCTCCTTAGATAGACTGAGACAGAAGCAATAGCTAGAAGCCAGGTGTTTTGGCCCAGCCTGGTCTCGCTGTCCCCATCTATTACTGGCCTGGGAGGACTACTTCCCTGGCCAGTAGGGAAGGCCAGGCTGCTTGCCTAGACAGCTTGTTGGTTTGGCCATCCGCCACTCCTGTCACCACATCATGATCCCCTGCCCAGGGCTACTACCATCGACCTGCCTGACCGCCTGAATCCCTGCTTGCGGTTGTGGCCACTTGGTGGATGGATAGTCCTCAGAGGCTTTCCCCTTGGCTCTGCCTCATCCCCATCCTGCTTGTCCTGAGCCTGCCAGGAACTAGATCGGGCCTGGCCTCCCTCAGGTGAGCCAACTTCTCCTGGAGATGGAGGGTCAGGTTTCCTGAGTCAGCCTCAAAGTGGGAAACTGTCGGGGGAAACCACCGCTTGGCCTGCCCCTTCCTTCCTCTTTGTCTGAACTGCTGCTCCAGCTGGGAGGAGGTGCTAGGAAGTTAGTGCCCACACACACTGCGACAGACCCTGTGGTGGACTCTGTCCTATTCCTTCATTCCCCATGCTGGGAGACAGGCCTGCTTAGGGGAGCTTCCCACTGTCCCACCTATGAGGGTGTCCACTTTCCTGTTTGGAGCCTGCTGGAGATAGCAAGAAAGACCACCCCGGAAGATCAGGTGCCAGCCTTAGTCTGGCCATAGAAGTAGGCCTGGTGACCTCAGAGTGGGCCCCGAGAAGGACTGTAACCTGAAGCTTGCTGGAGTTGGAGGTGGGCAAGGTGGGGGTGGGGAGACATGAATCTTTGATGACAAGGCTCAGGTATCCCAGGTCTGGCCTCTAGATTATTGATGGTGACTGGGGAGGCAATGGGGTGGGGTAGAAAGGGATGTCACTTTCCCTACTGGCTTTCAGTTCGTGCTGGTAACAGTAGAAGGGGTTTGTCAGCCTCTCCCTCTGGGGAGCTTGCTGGCCTCTCTCTCAAGGTCCAGGCAGGTAGGAGAAGCAATAAAACACAGCCACCCTTAGATCAAAAAAATAATTATTAGCAGAAATCCCATTCCTTAGCACCTTCTTCCATGGACTCCTTACCACCAACCTTTGAGTCTGAGGGAATTAGCTCTGTTTTATAGAAGAGGTTGAGGTTCAGAGAGGTCAGAGGTCACACAGCTAAGCGGAAGCTGGGGCCCCAAAGATCAGGTTTAAAACCTCAAGCATCTGCTGATGGTTACTACTTGTTCATGCCCAGCAGGGTTGTGTTCCTTGTGTATAGTACCAAGCCATGCTTCTCTGTCCCCAGGACTGGATAGGCCCTGATAGGCCCCTGGCCACATAGTGACCTTCATGAATCTACAGCCTGAGGTTTCAGGAAAAGGGGAGCACCTGAGGACGTGACCGAGAGTTTGTTTACCTAAAGCCCCTCCACCCCGCCCCTAAGCTGCCTATCAGCTGCCCAAGTCAAGACCTATAAATATTCTGTGACCTCAACTTTCCAGCTGTGTTTCTGCCGGGGTTCTTCTGACCCTGGCAGCCCCAAGGTCACACTCACCTAGAGACCCAAGCAGGTCCCTTACACACTTGGACTGTGGTTTTCCCTCTCTACTACCAAGAGTGGAGTTGAGATGATTCGATTCATGATCCTCTAACCGTGACTGTGGTCCTCACCTCGGCACTGTATCCTTGGTCATTAATGACCTTCCAGCTCTGCCCGCCACCCAATTTCCAAGGTGGAGTCTCTTTTCCAGGCTCCACTCCTCCTCCAGGAAGCCTTCCTTACTGCCTGGGAGCTGAGGCTTCGTTGCCCCTCGATAGGATTATGTTGGGGCGGGTGGGCCCTTCTTTTGGTACAAACTGGCTGGGAGCTCAGACTGCAAATACATTCTTGTGTCGTGCACGCCTTCGTCTGTATGTTTGTCTGTCTTGCCAGTTCACATGGCGTGGATACACTGCAGCTGTGTCTGTTGCCTGTGTGTGTGTATCTCTAAATGAGTGTGTCCACTTACACTGACCAGCTGAGTGGGTGCCCATCCACTGCTGGACCATCCTATTGCCAGGGGACAAGTGGCTGCCCTTCGTTCTTACCAACTTGGCTTGTCTTTGAACCTGCTCCCTCTTCATGCAGACAGTCCCATCCATTCCTGCCTGCCCTGTCATCAGAGCTATCCCAGCCAGCAGGCCATCTGCCTACCACTCCTACTAGCTAAATTTGGGAGCTTATGCTCAGTGGCCGTCTCGGGTTCCCAGTCACATGGGGGAGCCATATTTAACCCACTTCCCAGCCTAGCCCTCAGACCCCTCGGGGACAGCAGCAGACCCAAACTCATCCCTATCCACTCGGCCTGCTCACCACCAACAACTATGTTTCTTGTGCTTGTAGCCACTGAAGAGCTAAAGGAATTCTTTGCCAAGGCCCGGGCTGGCTCCATCCGACTCATCAAAGTCATCATTGAGGACGGTGAGTGTCCCCCACTGGCTGGGGCATGGCTTGGAGGCTGAACCCAGTTGCTTCTGGGGATAGAGACAATGGGTATTAGCTTTCCGCCCCCTTCAGGCTTCATTTTCTCCATCTGAGAATGGAATGAGGCCATTCACAGAGGAGCCTCGGGGTGGGGGGGCCCTATGGGTGCGGATGGTGGCCACTCTGTTGTGGAGAGCCCTGTCCTGTGGTCGTGTCCAGCCACAGTACCTAGAGGCTGTGAGATGGGCCTTGTTGGGGTACTGAGCTAGGTAGGTAGCAGGGGCCCAGTGACTATGTGTGTTTGTATGTTGTTTGCATGTGTGTGTGCGTGCCTGTGTGTGTATGGTCATCAGACTGGACCTGGTTTGGCTGCTGGCTATAGGAGAACTAAAATGCCAAGGACCTTCCCCAGAATGAGAAGGAAGAACTTACATCTTGCCATTCTGTAAACAGGATAGAGTAACTAACTCTGTCCTTGACAGGGCCTTGAGCTGACCGTGGGACCCAGGGTTCTTACGAGCCAGTACTAGGGGTATGAGGGTGTGAGTCTTGAGTTAAGGCCTAAAGCAGACGTATCCAAGAAGGCAGAGGATCCATCTGAGGCTGAATAGGGATGGGGAGACAAGAAGTCCCTCTCTCTTCTGTGCCAAGCGACTGCCTCAGCAGGGAGGGATTAGATTCTAGGAGTAGGTGTGGGGTCCTTCTGGCATCCTCAGAAGGCATACTGTCATGAGTCTTTGGCACCAGGCACTCTGAATGAGTCTAGTATCCCATTTCCTTTAGCAGGGCCCGCCAGACCCAGAATTCATCTCGGGCTTTAGGATCACAGCTAGGCTGGGCTTTGTCCAAAAAGATGCCCTCAGAGGCTACTGGGCAGGGGTCATTATGGTGGGTGATGAGTGGAAGCCTCCTGGGGCTTCCCACCCTTAAAGAGACAGTTGAGCCGGGTGGTGGTGCATTCCTTTAATCCCAGCACTTGGGAGGCAGGGGCAGGTGGATCTCTGTGAGTTCAAGGTCAGCCTGGTCTACAAGAGCTAGTTCCAGGACAGGCTCCAAAGCTACAGAGAAACCCTGTCTCGAAAAACCAAAAGAAAAAAAAAAAAAGTAAATACACAAACACAAAAGAGACAGTTGAGCTCCTTGGCCCCCGTTTTCAGCCCTGTCCCCTAACCTCCCAGGGAAGATGTCATTTGTAGATGGCACCCATAAGCATAAGAATCTCCAGGTAGATTATTAAACCCTAATTCTGCATTCCAATGTTGGGGTACCTGGGAATGCCTGGGGTAGGGGTTTATATTCTACTTGAGTGTGATTGGAGCACCTGATTTTTCTACGGTTTGGGGTATTTGTTTAGTTTTTGTTGGGGGGGGTGTTGTTTGTTTTTCGTTTTTGTCCAGTACAGAGTTTCTCTGTGTTGCCTTAACTATCCTGGAACTCTCTCTCTTTAGATCAGTCTGTCCTTCACTCACAGGAATTCCCCTGCCTCTGCCTTCCGGGTACTGGAGTTAAAAGTGTGTGCCACTGTCCGAGTTCTTTGTTCAAACAAAATAGCAAGAACCTGTCGGTGCCTGTGTGTGCAGTGCCCATGGAAGCCAGAAGGGGGCGTCAGAGCTGCTGGTGCTGGGGTCACAGGCAGTAGTGAGCAGCCGACGTGGGTTCTGGGAATCAAAGACAGGTCCTCTGGAAGGAAGAGCAGCCAGTGCTTTCAGCTGAACTATCTCTCCAGCCCCAAATTACACTTGTCATGCAAAATTCCTGGTATAGCTTGGCATGATGGGATATGCCTATAATCCCAGCACTCGAGAGGGCTGGGACTGGAGGAACTCAAGTTCGAAGCCAACCTAGACTATATTGACTTGTCTCCAAATAGAAAAAGGAAGCCTTGGGAGGTAGAGGTGGGAGAATCAATAATTCAAGGTCATTCTTGGCTATATAGTGAGTTGGAAGCCAGCCTGAGCTACATGAGCCCTGGTCTAAAAATATCAAAAATAATAATAATAATAATAAAATTCTGGTTTATTTTAAAAATTTACATTTAGTGTGCATGAGCGTGCAAGTCTGAATGAGCATGCATGTGTGCATGCATGCATGCATGTTTGTAGATTGGAGAACAACTTTGACCATGTAGATCCCTGGGATTGAATTTAGATCATCAAGCTTGGTGGTAAGTACCTTTCCCCTCTGAGTTATCACACCTGTCTAAACATTCTGTCTTAATAATGTCAAAACTAGCCACGTGGTGGTGGCGCACGCCTTTAATCCCAGCACTCAGGAGGCAGAGGCAGGAGGATCTCTGTGAGTTTGAGGTCACCCTGGTCTACAAGCTAAAATTACAGGGAAACCCTGTCTCGAAAAGCCAATCAATCAATCAATCAATCAATCAATAAATGCAAACTACCCAGAGAGATGGTTCAGCGATTATGAGCATTCATTGCCCTTGCTGAAGAACCAAATTTGATTCCCAGCATCGACGTGGTGGTTTAGAACCATCTGTAACTTCAGTTCCAGGGAATCAAATACCTTCTTCTGACCTCCATGGGTACCAGCCATATACATGTTGCACATACATAAATCTAAGTGAAACATTCATGAAATAAATAAAAACTTAAAAAAATGTGACCAACAAAGTAAGCAGTACTGACTGAGGTTGCTCCCCTTCCCCAACCTCACAGGTTATAGTCACTAACTTACTTTATTTTTTTCTTTTTTTTAAAGTTTATTTATTTATTTATACAGTGTTCTGCCT